TTAAGCGAGGGAGTGAGCTGGCAGCACGTCCACTGTTCTTCAATAAATATCCATCCACGTATTCCTGCCTCCTGTTAATTGCCAGGTAAATTATCCTTCTCTCAGGGAGACTGCCCTGATGTACACATACCTGCATTACCTCACCTTGAGTGTGTGTAATTCTGCTGTAGCAGCTGACCTGCGGTGAGTTGTTACCCTGCGACACATTTGAGCCTCTCTACTTCGAATCACTTCGACACTTTGAAGCTTTAACCCTTACATCATGCTGTAAACTAAGCCTAGCCCCAACCCAGAGTCTTTTGAGCAATTCTGGGTTTTTATGTGCTTGTGTCTGACATCCAGCCCTATGAAAAAGCGCAGAACCTGGCCATCCTTCCTCTGCTCCCCAGCTTGGGTCGTTTCAGACACATCCCTGGCAGCTGCAAAGCTGATACGAAGCAGCAAAACTTCCAGTCTGGATTATCAGGAACACTGTTGAGGCATTGCTTAATGCATCTGATATCTAAGCCTGGATAACAGGAGCCGTACAGCCAAGCAAAAAAAAAGATTGGCAGCTATTGCACGAATTCAGAGAGGGGCACCTTGGTGAAGGGTGGGGGGGAATGCATTTACTTCCATTACAGAGCCCAGGGCCGAGATGGATTCTCTCTCTGTCATTGTCCTAAGCACATTATCCCTGAAAGAAAGAGGGTTTCTCTGAATCTGCAATTTTTCTAGGCTTCCAGTGTTATTGAAATGAAACTGCTTCAAGGATATCTACATTCTTTACCATCGTATGGATTCTCATCTCATGTAAATTATTTGGCCACTTTTCATTTTAATCCTCCACTGTCATTTTCTACAAAAGAGATCATTTGGTTTCTTCATTGAAGGTATTCAGCTGACAGCTGCCCTTTGTCTAGAAAGCAGTGTGCCTTTGCAGGATTTACTTGTGCCTGCTTTTTTTTTTTTTTTTTTCCCCTTCCCCCTCCTTTTAAGTTCATATTGCTTCATATTTTTCATCTGTAGTTTTCAGGAACTTTTCAAATTGTGAACAGTCTGGGGTTTGTAGCTGTGAAGAGAAATTCAGACATCCTGTGTTCTTTCCCAGTCCCTTAGCAAGACTATACCTGGCTGATAAGAAACAGAACTGGAGGCAGATGAATTAATTTCCTGCTTGCCAGAAGAACTGTAGTCAGAAAATTCACAGTGTTTTCACAACTTCTGCATGAACAAACCAAAACAGTCAATGATGAAGTATTGAATTTTTTTTCTATGGTTTCCCTATCTCAAAAACCCAGTTATTCTCACCTACTCTCCAGAAATGTTGGGAGGCTTTAAATGCTGTGTTTTGTGTTGTGGTATATCACCCACAAGTCCCATTAAGACCTTGAAAAAGTGATGGGAACAAAATAAAATGTGTTGATGGAGTGTATATACAGAGAATTTGGAGGCTGAGGATGAAAATTATGTGTTTGGATACCTGTAGCTACGAAACCTTTTCTTTTAAGACTGTAAACTGCTGAGTGTGATCTCTTCTCTGATAAAGCCAGCTTGCACTCTGTCAGAGGTTAACAGAACAATATGGTGATGGAGAAAAATATTATCAGGAGAAGAAAACAGTTTTGGGGAGCACCAGTTAGTTGAGTGTTGGACAAGTTCATAGGCAGCTTGAATGTGGGGGGGGAGAAGAGAAGAGGGACATCATTAATGTGGATAAGCCAGCGGGTGGAAGGAGAGGTGGGTTCTAAAATTAACGTGTCAACTGCAGAAACAGAATTTAACTACTCTGGTAGTGCCTTTCCAGCTCCTCTCTGGCACCAACTTAGCTTTGTGATCTCCTTGAAGATGTCTTATTTACCAGGAGAACTGCCCAAAAACTTCTCCAAGTTTTGGTATTTTTTCAGAAAACAGCGTTTTGGGGTGAAAAGAATTTCAGATTTTCAAGTGGGAATCACTTGTCCTGTCGAAACTTACAGGCGTTTACATTGAAAGATAAGAAAGTTGTGTTAGAATGTAAAGAAAATACTTCAGAATGATGAACAATATGTTTTGATCCAATCTGATAAAAATTTTTATAGCTTGTTCGATTGTAAAATGTGTTAAGCGAAGAATTACGGTTTCAGCAGCGAGGTTTTTTTCTAAATCACCAAAATGATGGGACTACACAAAGCAAACTTCCTTGTTTGCCAGAAGAGGTGTCTCACTCGTCCAGTTCCGAAAGTTAGCACCATCATAGAGAGATTTCCTATTAGCCCAGAGAACTGTAAACTTGAGCCTTAGTTTCATAATTATTAGAAAATGTGAGCTTTTTTGTTTGAGCCAGCAAAAGTGTATGGCAGTCAGTGGCTTGCTAAAAGGATAGCCTTTAGGTACGTGCCAAGAGAAGGATCGCTAGTGGCTCTTGCGTTGTCTTTTCTTCATTAATCGGTGTCTCTTACATCGGCACAAGAATGGGCAGGTCAAGTATACACCGTTTCTTAATTTTACATCTTCTGTTACTGCTTCCATAGTTAGGAACTGTCCTGTAATTTTGTGATCACAGATGATCTAGATCCATAAGATCACATGGTGTCAGGGTTTCACCTTCTGGTTTTAGTACATATCCATGTAGATGCATCAGGTTTTCTAATTTTATGGGCTTTCCTCTGTGGTGTTTGTTCTTGACTTTTGACAAGTATCTATAAACAAAATAAATAATCTTGAGCAAAGGGAGTCCATAAGCTGTTATGCCTACCAAAATTTGCTGAGTTAATTTTTTGTACACACAGTAAAAACCTGGAGTCCTCATTAGGAATCCAGGTCATACAATATACGAATGTAAATAATAGTACAGCAGTTTTCAGCTGGGATGTCTTGATGTTTGTTTATCTTGTGGCACTTAAAAGAGAAAGTAGTTCTTGGTGCTGGGCAGAGTGGAGTGTTCTATTTTGTAGGTGGAAGAGCCGAGACACTGTCATGAGGCAGTTAGACTGGGATCCTGAGCTTCTGCTGCCATCACTAACTACTGGAAAAAACATTTTACGGTCTGTTTTCTAAGCTCTCCATTCTCAAAAAACCCTTTGTAAGAACACAGCCCTTTTGAACAGAAATTTGCAAGTTAAGATAGACACACGTATCACTTCAAAGCCTATAATAATAGAAAGGATGATATATCTGGAAGAGGAAAGATTATACTTTAAAAAATAGCATGCCCAGAGAGATTGCTGGAAGGGGGAGAAAAAAAAATAAATTTCTTGCTGATAATTCAGGGAGCATTCCTGCTGGTGGCAGTGCCAGAGTTGAGCATGCTGTGTACATGGAAATTCCCAGAAAATAAGTGTAACCAGGTGTCCTCCTCTTCAGATCTAATGGCAAGATCTCAGCTGTTCTGTCAGAGTAGGATCAAGCTTAGTGGGAATCACAGTTATGGTCAGTCCCTCTGGATTTACTTAATCAGAGCAACTCAGAGGTCCCGGGAAGAAGGAGTGGATGTTTTTGTGTAAGTGTGCTTGACTCCAAAGCCCAAATTGGTAGTATGGATGTAGTCTGCCCTTCATTTGGTGAAGATGGAGCTATTGCTGTGGTTTTGTTTGCTCTCCAAGCTGGCAAATCAAGTGGAAGTACGTTAAGCAGTACAACCCTAGCTGTGCTAATGTGTGATCTCTCAAGTCAGTGAGTAGCAACTTTGAAATAGGGCTGTGTTTGTGGGCATAGCTGCAACTGTAAATAACACTGTGAACAATGGGATGAAGAAGTAGTAGCTAAAATTCAAACTGAATGATCAGAATTTGTCCTTAGAGTGAATTGGTCTAAAGTGGAGGTGAAACAGTGAGATCTGCATTAATACCACTTAGTAAAAAGAAGGTTGGACAGAAGCAGTTGCTGTATGGAACGGAATCCAGGTGCCATAGAAAGTAACTGTGCTGGGACTGATCTACTGGAAGAGAAATACAACCATGGAAAAAAAATAATTGCTTAAATATGCCTAAATCTTCCACTAACAAATGATCTACAACTAAAGGAAATACCTTCTTTTCAAATACGGAGCAGTTGTCCAACAGTTGAAGTTGCTGCTGATCAAAGTTGATCAAACATCCTTATGATTATATATTATGGACAATCTACAGAAAAAAAATGTAGTACTCCCTGCTTGTGGTGTGCTTATCAGTCCATTGGAGTAAACAGGACTTTTTGTTGCTTTTAATGCAAATCTGTTAAGCTTTGTAGGATGTGAATCAGTTCATTCAAATTTGTAAAGCACTTAAATGAAGTAAAAAGAGAAAACAGTTTAACTTTTGTAGGATGTTTGCTGCATATAAAGTACAATAAAATCCCAATTATTTAGAAAAAAAATACTGTTAAAATATGCTGTATTCAAGATGTTCTGGGGAAGATTTAAAATCTTTAAATTGTGATTTTTTTTTTTTAAAGAAATCTAGTCTGAGTCTAGAAATCTTACTATATTACTGTATAATTTTGTCTGTACAATCTTCATACCATATCTGTCTAAATTAGGCAAAATTTGTGTGTGTGTAATATATAAACAAATATGTACGTGTGTGTGTGTGTGTATATATATATATATATAATATATTAACCCAGGGATCAAAATAAATATTGAAAAGCTCCTTCATTTGCAGGATGCTGCCTAAGTTAGGGGTATGTCAGGGGGAAAAAAAAAAAGAAAATCATAATAAACAAAAGCAGAGGCATGGCCTGTGATGTTTTCTTGACAGTCTTAATTCTGATATTCATAGCATTGCCAACTTTGTTGTATCTTCTAGTATGATAGTACAGTGTTCCAAATACTGAGATAATATTAATTTATCTGAGGCATTGGCTAAGTTTTGTAAACTCTATGTGGGTATGAGTGCATGCTGATAGTATCTTATGCATGTACAGTTTTACATAAAATGTACTGCATCTGTGTTATCTCCGAGTGATGCATAAACTAGCACTTGACACCTTTTTGCCGCTTTGGGGTCTTCATGCTCTGTTTTCTGAAAAAAACTTTTTTTTTTTTCTTCCCCCCCTTGCAGTTACTTCAATGAGAATCAATATCCAGATGAAGCAAAGAGAGAAGAAATTGCAAACGCTTGTAATGCAGTTATACAGAAGCCAGGTGAGGAGCTGGTCATGGTGTCCTTTCCAAAGGCAATTGCAATTAGGTTTCAACATCTCCTGCTAAATTCAGCAAATCTCATTTTCTGGCTATTACTAACATATGTAGTGCCCTCAACTAGCAGTTGGTTTCTTCTTGAGCATTCTGTAACTCGTGTTGTTCGGAGCTGCCATACTTGGATGAACATGACAGTCAATGCCAACACCAGCAACTGAAATTCCCACCGTTCCAGATACGAAGGGCAAGTTGTGCATTTGAACATTGCCTTTATACAGCTTTGTAAATGGCACTGCTAAGAAGATAAACACGTCTGGAAGGTTTTCATTCTTTACATTCAGTTATTTCAAATACATCATCACATCAGCACTTAGCAGTGATCTGAGAATTTCGTTACACTGCACGGAAGTGGGTTTTACTGGTTCTGTTTTACAGATGGGGACTCTTGGGTTCACAGACTGAGGCTTGCTGAGCATCATACAGCAGGTCCTCAGAGGAGTAAGGAGCACAGCTTTCCCGTGTTTCAGTTTGCTTTACAAATTCTAGACAGGGGTCTCATTAGAATCTGCGTATTAATGGAGGACCTTGTATTTGGGTCAACAAGTTGCATTTTTCCCTGTTCCTGGAGAAGTCATGCTTGGGAGAGAAATATGAATATTCAGCGTAGTACGAGTGGACGCACCTGCCTTTGCGTAGTTTTGCTAACCAAACATTTACATAGTTTTCAGAACTTGTATTTTGGATATATTTAGATTTTATATAACCAGAATAAAAATTAATGCAAAATAAGGCTAAGGCATGACTCCTGAACGTTGGAATAGTCACAGGATAGCACAGAATCATAGAGCAATTTAGGCTGGAAATAATCTCTGGAGATCTGGTCAGGCAGGACCAGTTTAGATTAGGTTGCTCGTTTAGTTACCTTGTTCAGTTTTGAATATGTCCAAACCCAGAGGATTTCCCACCTCTGGACCCTGTTTCACAAGGTTGAGCAAAACACTTTTTCCTAATACCTCGTCAGAATTTCCCTTGTTGCAACTTCTGTGTGTTGCCTCTTTTCATTTTGGAAGGAGAATGATCTAGTGATCAGAGCCCCAAGGAGGTGAGGGTTTTATTCCTGGCTAGGTTGGTTTAGTAACTTTGAACAAACTCCTTAAACACTGTGTATCAGGATTGGTAAAAAGTACTGATGCAAAGCATTAGGAAACAGCATAGCTAGCTATTTCCAAGTTTTTCTTTCTTTCACTTGACTCATATCTCCTTACTTATTTAAGTTTGCAGATTGCTACAATTACGTGAATGTTTTGTGTGCTGAATAAATAATTGAGAAATGGTCTGATTCGGGGGAGTCTCCTCCCCGTGTAGCCTGCAGAGACCCGAGGATGCAGCTACATTGAACAGGGTCAGGGCCAGCTGAAGAGGTTTCTGTGCTGTCCCTGCAATACTGAATCCCTCCGGTCTTCCCTCTCTTACACTGGTGATCAGGAGAAGGATTGTGTCTTGTAGCTGGCTGGTGACTGTTGGGATTTTATTTGCTGGTTTAAGTGTAAAAACTCCAGTGATCCCGTTTCCAACATCCCCCCACACTTCTCCCAAAAGATCACAAGTGGCCGTGCACGATTGAGAGAGTGTGATTAGTGCTGTGGGAGCACTATAGTGGCTGCTGGTGGAGAGGGAAGAAAGCAGATCACGAGGGAAACACAGAATTTCTTCATTCATTTTGCTGCTGAAGAAAACAACGTCATTGAACTATACCCTTGCGGCACATGGTGAGAGAACTAGCCCAAGGGTATGTGATTTGTGGCAGGGCTGTGAATTGAATTTGAGGTTTTTTTGAATCTTAGTTTTGTGCTTGAACTAGCAAAGCAGCCCTCTATTCTCCCACAGCTCTGGATTTGATTGATTTAAGCTGCAAGGAAATTCCTGTATTTCAGATTTAAAAATTTAAAAAAAAAAAAAAAAAGAAGAAAGGCTACTTTGTTTTTAGAGAGATATTTGGCATTTATTACCCTAACGTCTGGGCACAGTACCCCTATTCACATAAAATTCACTTTCTTCTTGGTTATAATAATTTTTCAGTGCTGTCTGTATCTCAGGGGTTTATAAAATGTGTAAGGGTCTTTTGCCTACCTGTAGCACCCACTGAGTAACAATGCTGTATTTCCTCCCCACTGCCCCGTTACTTTCATAGGAAAAAAGTTATCGGATTTGGAGCGAGTTACCTCCCTGAAAGTGTACAATTGGTTTGCCAATAGAAGAAAGGAAATCAAGAGAAGAGCCAATATCGGTAATGTATCAGAGAGCCTGCTTTCAAGGTTTAGTACGTACACTTGCTCAAGAAAGATGGAAATTACGTAAGATTGTATTAATGAAAATACTAGAGGTTCTGACATTCTTAATAGAATCGTGGAGCAATTTTTAAAATTAGTCTCCTGCTGTTCAGATTTTTTTCTAAAATATGAGTAAGAATTTCATTTATGAAATTTCATCGTTAGTGCAGGAAAACGGTGCAGTTACGGAAGATCAGTTTTAAAAAACAAAGTGGGAATTTTGTTGGTGGAAGGAGAATCGTACTCCCCTCTGCTCGGGTTCCTTTGGGTATCCGGAATAAAATCTGAAATAAAAACCTCAGAATATCTGCATTGGAGATAAGGGAAATCGAGATGATGGCAAGTTCACAACCTTAGCATGCTGTTTAAATGAAAAGTGGTGGTTGTGAAGAGCTTTTATCTGGTTATAAGTTTCCTTGTGTCTGTGTTCCAGTGAAATGTGCTTGTTTTTTCAGCCTAAACCTGGGGGTGTCTTTCTTACTGCCATCTCTGAAACCCCGCAGGGATCTAAGAGTCCAGATGAGTTGTTTTACACCTCAGATACAGCCTCTAGGACCAAAGGTGCTGCAAGCTAACTATTTTCTGGTTTCACCTGTGCTCCTTACAGCTTTCCAAGGGGTTGCACAGTGACAAGGGGCTGGAACAAAGTAATAATTTTTTGTGATGAGCAGGATAAAACAAAAGTGACATCAGAGTTAGCCCTGCAGGTTCTTCGTGTGAGTAGCTGATCATGAGGAAATTAGAAGTGACTCTGAACTTGTGAGCAGTAAACCTTTTAATGTCAATAAACATAAGAAATTCTAATGAGAATTAAACTCACATTAGTGGCCAGGATTCAACAAACTTCTGCAAAATTTTATGCGCTTATTTAGATACTATGCATAATTATGTTTGCAGTACACAAACAGATCCATACCTGCCTATTGCCAGTATTTTTGCCAGTGTCAAACGTTATGCCCTTTTGCTGTCTTCTTCTTTTTGCCATATTTGAGAACAAGAAAAATTTCACGTTGCTTAATGTGTTACTGAAATTTAATCTAGATTTCTTTTCTAAAAATGAAATCTTGTCTGTTGAAGGGAAGGGGAAACAAACCAAAGTCAGTACGAGGTGGGTGGAGTTACAGCTGTATCTGTACTGTTTGGGGTGGAGAGTTGGAAACAGATTAAAAAGAACCAAAGGGAGCCTTAGATGCATGATTCTTCCTGGAAGATGAAGATACCTATGTTTTTAAATCCCTTAAGTGCTTTAAAAAAATTCTCCATCTGTTTTCAGACGCTCCCCACCCCCCTCAAGTCTTGCCACTCCAAACTTTGTGGGAAGATCTACAGGGAATGCCCTTGCCTACTCCAGTGCATTAGAGAATAAGCTAATTTCTAATAGGACTGACTGGAAAACAAGGATTCTTACTTGCAAACAAGTCTGTTAGTTGGTAGAGAAGGATTTCAGGCAAACGGGTATCTGTACATTTGCAACTTTTCTAAATACTGAAGAGTAAAGGGGAAGAGGCTAAGAACTATGTTTTTCCAGTTATTCTAACTTCTTGAAAAAAAAAAAAAGTGTAGTTACTTTTAATTACTCTAATGCATCAGATAAATTAGGGATCCATTTGCTTTTTTCGAAGAAGCAGCAATCCTGGAGAGCCATGGAATAGATGTACAGAGTCCAGGAGGTCATTCCAACAGTGACGACGTTGATGGCAATGACTACTCAGAGCAGGTAAGCCCCACGGGTGAGCCACGTGGCCCAAGGAGGGAGAGTTCACGCGACAGATGAAGAGGCCCTCTACCTCTTGCAAATCAGAGGTCTCTTGTTTTATTTTTGCTTTTTTTGTAATTGTAATGGGGAAAGTGGAAGAGCACAGCTCCCCTATTTGAATGTGTTGAGCAACCAGCATTCACCCACATGGATTTATTGTCATACAACAGGAGACTTGGCAAGTACGCAATGGGGAGGAGGAGGGAAGATGTACAGAGGGAGGCAGAGAAGCAGAGAAGGTAGAAGAAGACAGGAGGATCTGCTCCAAACAAGCAAGTTACACCATTCACGCCACACGCAATGTATGAAAAATGTTAGGAGAGTGTTCACTCACCCAGTGCACCATGCATAACTTGCACTCTCCTTACCCCGGCGCCGTTCTAGTTATCTACCCTCCTCCAGAAAGGGTGTACAGGTCTTTAACAGTTGCTCCTATATATCAGGCACCAACATGCTTCCTGGCAAAACTAGGCCTGTGTGTTCCTCTTGCAGCTATTATTTCTTTCTGCAAGAAATGTCTCCACTGTAGCCTGTGCTACAGCTACTGTGAGTTTCTGATCTGGCACCCAGACAAGAACAGCAGTAAGCCCCTGCCCAGTGCACTTTATAATCCCTTTTGTCAACCTTGCTCAGCAAGATACTGAGCACCCTCCTATAAGGTGCTGAGCTCCCTCTCTTTGTCCGTGGGAGTACCTTTCAGGAGCGTCTCAGAATCCATCCCTAAAACACTGACAGACAAAGGGTGAAGGGTGGGGGGAGAGGATTTGATTAAATGAAGTTTGATGTTTATTTGGCCCCATACCTGTTCCATATTGTTCTGCAATGATGTGCCATTATTTGGATTGTTTACGTATTTTCTGTCTTTTTTTGGTTTGTTTTTTTTTTTCATTTTAACTCTTGCCTATTCTCTATTTTCCTTGGTTATTTTTAACCCTTGACAGCAACTTCTTTTTTAAATTCTCTAGCAAAAGAATACCCCTTCCCGCACTCTGAGCCCTCACCTACCCTAAAGTTGGTGACCCTTCCTTCACACACCTTCCTGACAGGTATTGCATCCCCTTCCCAATTTTCCTTCAGGTGTCAGTGTTGGCCAAATTCCCCCCTCAGGACTGTGTGTGCTCGGCACCAGTCGACCTGAACAGTTCAGTGCTTTGGTTCTGGTTTTGATCCGAGCTGTGTTCTGTGCTACACCCAACAGCTGGGGTGGGCAGATCGCTTTTAATTGACTCATTTGGGAGAAGTAGGTAGGTCTCCCTCTCTAAAGGCTGCTGGTGGAGTGTATTAGCAACTGAGTGTCCTGGAATGAGTCCCTAGCATACTTGGCTGTGGCCCAGTACGACAGATATCTGGCAGAGGCATTCCCAGCCGCTCTGCTTCTGATGGGTATTAAGGCCCTTTTTATAGGTCATCACCAGCAGATTTGGTGGAACCAACTTTGCTAGCTCTGGATGATGAGAGGCTGCTCTGTGACTGTTATAAAATATTTTGAAACTGCTGCCGAGCACAGATAATTCCTTGTCAGTCAGATACAGGACCTGAATATTAAGATGAAGCGTTATAGAGACTCCCAAACTAATTTTTTCCTTCGGTGTGTTATCCCGAATACTTCAAGAAGAGAAATAAACTGGTTCTTAAAATTTAAAGATTTTTGTTTAGGGTCCTTAAAACTTACATTTCTCAGTGATCTAGCTGGGCTCTGTGAAGTGTAATTAGGCATTAGCAGCCAAGCGGATTAAGTGGCAGACCCTCCTGATGACCATTTCACATCCCTTAGCTGTTAAAACCATAAATTCTGGTTTCCACAAGGACACTTAAACTCTAGTAAACTTCTAAACACAAAATTCATCCAAATACTAATGAAGTGCCTAAAACTCCAGAAGTCAGGACTTTTTATTTGTTACAGTGCTAAAGAGTACTGAGAGGCCCTCAGAGTGTGTGCACATCACAGTATTTCCCTGACATTTGGTGTAAATGAATGCGTTCCTTTAAGTGGCTTCAGGATTTTACCAAATCCTGGCTTTTCTGTCCCCCTCAACAGTTTTGTCACCTGTCATCTTAATTTATAAAACACATAATATGTATTTTAAATATTAAATTTCACAAGTTCATCACTTAAAGGCTGTTGGAAGACTGAGAAATGTTTCTCATTTCCTTTCTGTAAATATTAATTTTTTAAAAAGCGAGATGGTGGTGTGGTAACCATTAGTACCCCATTTTACAGAGGGGAGGACACCGTGATTTTGTGTCGAGTTCCAAACGAATTTATTTGACAGCTGGAATTGGAGTTTGCGTATCACTGGTTCTCCTTCTTACTGAAAACCAGGCCCTATGTCTGGTGTAGACAGAGAAACACGGACAACTCACTATCAAATTTACGCTGGAATTGCCAGACTTTTAGATCTGCTATTGTATGGCCATTATGCACCTGGAGAAGGCAGCCCTTCTTGTTCACCGATTTTTAAAATTTTCACTGCAGTTCTACAGCAGCAAAGTTTTTCTGTATTAGTTTTGCTTGCTGACCATCACAGCTGTTAACGTGGTGGCCCTCCTACGGCTGAGAGACTTTGCTCTTTAGAAAACAGATGAAGAAATATATGGCACATAATTCAGTAGGCTGGAGAACCTGGCAGTATCTTCACCTGCATTTTGAATTACGGTGCTTCCAGTCCCCTGACATCGTTGCACTGTTAGCAGTCTAGGAGTTTTTCTGCATCTTTTTCCCTATACCTGTGTGAGTTCAGTGTCCTCACAGGATACTGGCTCAGACCAAAGGTTAGTCTAGGTTTACATCCTGTTTCTGAGTGAGGTCAATAGTTGTATTTAGAGAAAATGTAAATTTTTTTATTATGGTAGTTTCCAGCTTCTAGAAATAAGTAGTTTTGAGAGGCTTCCTGAGACAGGCATCCACTTCCAGTTTTAAGTTTGTAGTAGACTAATTTTCCCTGAACTTGCCTAACCCCCACTTTTTAAAGCCATTTTTACTTTTGTCTGATGAAAAAGAAAAAAAAATAAGTGAATCCTACAACTGAACTGTGATAAGTAAAGCAGTGCTTCCCATTGCTACTTTGCAATATATTATCATTCCAGTGAGTGCCCTTGCTTACTAGATCACGAGAAGCCACGAACAGTTGTCCTCTATTTACTAATTATTTGTAATAAACGTTTCCTGTATCAGCCATCAGCCATTTGCTTTCCAGACTGAAGAACCCGAGTCTATTTAGCCTCTCCTCCTAAGGAAGCCACCCCATGCCTCTCTTCCCCTGGGTTGCCATTCTCTCTACCTTTTCTAATTCTATCGTGTCCTCTTTAAATGGGATGACCAGAACTGTATATTCAAAATGTAAGCGTATGATGAATTTGTGCAGTGCATAACAATTCCTATCTAAGTTTGGTTTCCTGACATAACCTTGTGTATCACTTACCTTTAATATTTCCGCCCCCCTCAAATTTCTCTGTTGAGAATTGGGTACGCCGCTCCTTGCCTTGCTTACCTTTGTCTGCACAGTGAGGGAAATCGGTCCTAAATTAATTTTGTAAATTCCTGTCACTCTCTACCCCTGTATCGAATGTGCAATTTGCTGCCCCTAGTCTTCACACACTAGTTTTATCTACTGGTTCTCTACTTACAGAGTAACGATGCTTCTCTCTTCTCCTTTCCACATGCACAGGATGACAGCACTAGCCATAGTGACCATCAAGACCCCATTTCATTAGCCGTGGAAATGGCAGCGGTAAACCACACCATCTTGGCATTGGCCCGGCAAGGAGCCAACGAGATCAAGACAGAGGCTCTAGACGACGACTGATACAAAGAAAGGGGAGGGTCAAAGCAAGAAGTAACTTAGTTTTAGACGTAGCACCTTAGCAGACTTTCCTCGGTCCTTAATATGTGTTCTTACAGTATAACTTTGCAGTTTCTTGTACGTCAGTTAGCTGTTAGGGTCTTGTTCTGTGAAGATGGCATGGTGCCCTCAGCCTTTGCATATACTCTCTCAGTATTAATTCCCAATAAATAATCAATCAACCAACCAACCTCCCTCTCCCAGCCCCAGTGGCTAGAAAAATCTTGCTGCTCTGTCTTAGCATTCAAAGTGCTTCCAGGTATTTTAGACAGCCCTCAATGACAAGTCTTAGGCTACACTTAAAATCTTGGATACCCTTAGAGATTGTGTTTAAAAAAAAAAAAAAAAATAGTCTGTACGCTTTTCCTTCTCTGAGACTGAAAGGATGCAAGCTGAGGTAGTGGCACAGGGTCGATGGACACCAGATCGGGAATATCAACAGAGAGTAAAAAGAACACTAGAAACCCCACTTCAGCATGGGAATAAATGATTTCCAGCTGCAATAAGCCGTGCCTCACTGGTCATACAGTGACTTGATATACTTTTGGGTGCTGTGCTGAGAATGTCCATTGGAAACACATTCACATATTTCAGTTGATGTTCACATATTCAACACAGACATCCTCTACTCTCACAAGCTGCGTGGCTTAGTGGATAAGCACTGCCTTCTGCCTCTGGGACCATGATTGAAGCCCAGCCTGGGATCATATGAAAAATGAGCTGAATGTCTAATGGACAACAGTCCACTTCTCAAAACCACTATTCATTATTCGGCATGGCTAGCAGTGCCTGCTCAGAAGAGGTCTAGACTCTATTGATCTGTCATTAACAATTCCACCTTTTATTTTTCCTCTTGCCTTTTCTGACCCCACCCTGCTCCCCTTTCCACTTTGCCACTTTCAAAAGCAATGTTTTCCAGGAGGGTATTAAGGTCATAAAATGGGTGAGTGGATTTTTACACATCTGTGTAACTAATGCCTACGTCCTGACTAGCCTGAAAGGTTGCTGGAGAACTTTTGCATCTGACCTTTGCTAGATAGCCATCATAGCATAAATATTCTCCGAAATACGAACTTTTTTTTTGTTTGCTTAAAGGCAGGAGGATCTCTTACCTGAGAAATGGGGTGTGAATGTTTTGTGTTCTCTTTACTCTGTCCTTGTTAAGATGCGAGAAAGCTATACTGCTACGAGCAATTGAATTAATAATTGGAAGCCATACTGATAATGGATGTGGTAATATTTGTAAAGCAAACCTACTTTAAGTAGCAGAAACTAATGGAATTGTTTTCCTTGATCATATGTAGCACTTTTGTTACTTTTTTCTTAAAGATATTTATATTTGATAAGTCTTTTTTTTATCATTTGAGAATTCAAAATACCAAACAGCAAACTTGCATTACAGAGTCACCCTGCGATCACCTTGTCATCTAGTATCTAAATGATGAACTGTGTGTGCATCTAAGAAAATTACATCTGCTGGCATTGTGTGGAAATGATCTCCTGGCATTCTGATAAAATGATACGTTGCTGCTGGTAAGAGGAAACGTTTCAATGGAAACAGCACGGGAGTTGTTAGAGACGGGCAGGACTGTGCTACATTAAAAATAAAAATTAAAAACCTATGTAAATTTTTGTATATAGATATATAAAGATTTGCATAGCGTTTCCTCAACATTCCATTTTTATCTTCCCCGTTTATGTGGGAATAGCTTAAAAAGGGGACAACAGCTTAGTCTGAAGGATGGGTTTCCCTTTTCTCCCCTCCACTTGAAAAGAATGAAGGGAAGTTGCTATTACTTGGCTTGTCTTCATCCCTTCCTCACGCTTAATGTCAGATAGCATTGGGAACTCCTAAAATGTGGCTCCTCAGCAGGTTTTTAGCCAGCCTAAACCCCTTCAAGGCATAGGCTAACTAGATCATTTTTACATCTGTTAATCTTGTGAAAATTGCTTAGGTAAGTGTGGAGGAGATGCTGTGCTTTCAGAGGGCACACAGCTGGCACCTCTTTGTCTCTGTAACTTTGAAGATATATAGGTAGGGCTCAGCCTCGTCTTTCACTTATGGATTTCATTGGAAAATTTATGTGCTTTCCTTAGATATAGATCACTGAAGCAGAATGAAGCCATCTTTTTTTTTTTTTTTTTTTTTTCTGTTTTATTGCATTTCTTGAGTAGGCAAATTCATAAGTACCATCAGGGCAGACTCAGGAAAGAGAGGAATCGGATCAGCGGCCGTTGCACCATGGCAGTTTTTTTCTTAATGTGTGTATGAATGTTTTGGTACTAAGGAGTGAAAGGATGGGGAGAGCTTTTATTTCTATTTTTGCACAGCGGAATGATCGAGCAAACTATAGCCTTAGTGGAATTTTACCTCCTTATTCATTCCACAGTCACACACCAAGCTGACAAGCAACATCCACGATTTATAGTAAGGAGATTTTAATAATCGATGACCTCTTTACGTTGGGCTTGCCACCACCATTTGTTCTGGCTGCTTCATTTTAAAAAGAACAGACTCAAACTGTTGGACAGCTGCAATTTTAAAAGAAATACTGCTTACTATACCATCTTAAAAAAAAAAAAAAAAAGTCATTGTTCCAAGCATTGCATTTTTAAAGCAATAGGAAAGGATAAGAATAGTACTAGAACTTCTATATCCCGATTGTAGGTTCATGTGATGCAGTATTAAAGTAACACCACTAAAATTTTATGTCTACACCATTTAATGTGGAATATTCTGGTCTTAATTCTGTTTGTTGCTGTCAGGTAGCCGCTGGTCTCGTCGTGCATCAATGTCCTGTCTGAAGGTTAAACACTTAAACCCCTTGTGAACAGCTGGAGATAGGCAGATCCTCCTTGTCTGTAGCTTCCTGGTAAATACTATCTTCTCACCAGAGAAAATACTACAAATTACTTCACTGGGGAATCAGACACTTAATTCCGTGGTGCCAGTTTTTGGGTTGCCCCTCTCTATTTTGGCTTTTCTTTGACCATCAAGAGGTACAAGGAAAGAGTAAGACTGTTACCAGGGTGCTCATGGCAGTCTGTTTCCTTTATTCTGGAAGTTCATAGTGAGCAACTTGCACTTCACTAATAAACTTGTTGGTTTGACATGAACTAGCTAAAATGGATCAGACGCTGGTGTGATGATACTGGGAGAAGCATATGTGATCTGGAGTAAGTGAAAGAATCGGTGGAGAGTGTGTCCTGGAATTTAGCCTTTGTTCTAGGGTTTTTTCCACAATATGGGAGTCATCTTTGTCCTTCTGTCTCTGGATTTTCTTGAAAATCAAGCCTCATTTTTGTAGCATTGCAATGCAGTTGCAATTTGTTGTAGCCAATCTGGAATTAGTGCAGTTTGTTCTCACGTGGGTTCCCTTGAAGTGGATCTGGTGGCAGACTAGATCTACCTTTTTGTTCTGTGAATAGAGAAGAAATTATTTAAGATGCTTCTCTTCTGTGATGGGCACAGATTGCTTTTAACATTGTAGAGTAAGTTCTGGCTGTTATTTTGTCACTCAAAGTCCGTATACTTGAGTTGTTGTCTCATACCGTCTTCTTAAAACAACAATTTCTACCTCCTCTTCTTTTTTTGGGTTGTTTCGGGTTTTTTTGTTTGGGTTTGGGGTTGGTTTGTTGGTGTTTGGTTGTTTTGTTGGGTTTTTTTTTTTTAATTCCCCCACCATTTTTACTGAAGTTTGAGATCCCAGGTGTTTGCAAAAGCATTTTGAGGTGATAAAAACAAGTCGACATAGCAATGAGTAAACATGATATCTGTAGGTGCTCTAGTGTTGTAGAGACAACTTCTACCTACCCTGTGAACATAGGTGTTGTTACAGTGCAATCCCATTCCTCTGGGCTGGATGTGAATACGTTGGTTGTGAGTCAGCAGTGCACCCTTACAGCAATTAAGGAATCTCATTAAGAAGAGCCTTCAACAGGTCAAGGAAAACGATTGGTCCCCTCTGTGCATCACTTGTGGGACCACATCTGGAGCACTGGGTGCAGTGTTGGGCAGGAGTGAGTCCATCATAGGGGTGCTGAGATGAGAGGCTCGGAGCACATGTCGTGTGGTGAGAGGTTGTGAGAGCTGGATCGTTTCAGGCTCTGGGGACATCCTGTATTTTGTTCTTCGGTTATCTTAATGCGTGGGTTTAGAGAAGACTGAGCCAGGCTCTTCTCAAGAGATGCATAGCGAAAAGGTGAGGGGCAGTGGGTTCAGGTTGCATTGAAGAAAATCACAGCTGAATATGAAGAGAAGTATTTTCATACTCAAGAGTGGTCGAAGAGTGGCCCAGAAAGGCAGTGGGAACCCCATCTGTGGGGCCATCCAGAGCTACTATGGGCAAGGCTGGATTAGAGACCTCCGGAGGTCTCTGCTGACCTAAACTATTCTGTGATTCTGTACAAACCTGCTCAGGTTGAAGTGTTTCCTAGTTCTGACTATACAAGTTGTTGTTTAAAGAAATTATCTTAATTTGTCGTTGGCTTTTTTTTTTTCTGTTTTGCTGTTCATAAAAAGTTATCTTTCCTGTTCTTCTAATAAAGGGGAGCTTTATTTGCAGGGTCTGGCTCCAGGTTCCAATCAAGCCATAAGTAATAAATTTCGTTAATTATTTGCTCTGTTTACACAGTTCTTCAGGGATATTTGAATTATTCTCTTTGTGTCATTGCCTAACATCAAACCGGTAAGTTTTCCATGTTTTTGTACCATTTGTGCTGTAGATCAGTTTTTGCCTTCGTTTGCAATCGTTGTCTTGCTGCTGTGAGTGCAGGTGAAAAATTTCACACAGCTGAACTTTTATTATAGGAAAAATTGTAGTGAACTTAAGCGCACTGGTGACTGCTATAAGCAGCTAGAAATTTTGGGTTCAGTAAATCATTAATTGGTGATTATCAGAAGCTGAAAGGACATGATTGGGAAGGAGTTACATTATAGTCACTTGGATCCTCCTTTCCTTAAGTATTTTCTGTTGGCCACTCCCAGGGGAAAAAATAAACATCCCTAGGCAGACATTAGGTCTGATCTGAATGTTATTTTGAAGAGAAATAGCAATGGTGTTTGCCAGCGTGGACTGGCATGAGGTCAGTTACACTCCCATGTGTTATTTCTGCCTTCAAGGTGCACAAGAATATGGAGATGAGTTCCCCAAGATTTTGAGTTCCCCAATGTGTGGTATGCGATTTTTTTTCCTTCACAATGAGATGCTGCTTGCAAAGAATTAAAATGGAAGCATCATTCTGGCCTTCCCCCACAGCAGTTGAGTCACCGAGGTGTGGTAGTTCTAACAGGGTTTCATAAGGAAACAGTTCTTTATTTTTCATATAGGTAAAACCAGCAAAAATTGGTGTAAGAGTTTTCAAAACTCAAAGTCGCTGCCCCTAAAGCACTTAAAGCAGGATGTTGTTTCCCTGTGTGTAATCTTAACTCGGATGCAAAGCTGGTTTCTCACCTTTCTCTGCAGATTACTAAGACTCAGTGTGAGGTTTTGCCCATAGTGCTGAGAGCTGTGGATGTTCAGTAGAGTACTTTTCCCCCCTTTATCCCTGGAATTCTAATTTTCTTACGAGAAGGTTTATGTTCTTCCTCCCACCTCAGCTACATCATTGTGCAGCACTCATTCCCTGGGGTTCATCAACCTCTTTTTTTCAAGTTCATTGGATAATTACCAGCAAATTCTAGGGGTTTTTTTTGTCAAAATAAACTTTGCTCTTATTTTAGACAAGGCTTCCCACCCAAGTAGCTCTTGCACTCTTTGAAGTTATTTAACCTGATAATATTATTTTGATCAAAGTCTTAAGCTTGTAGGCAATAATCTTGAGTTTGGTGTAGCTTTTATCACTTGGCAGGAATCTTTTTTGGCAGGATCGGTCTTGGAAACCGTGTTATATGTCAGTGACCGCACACGTTCATTCGTATAAGACAGCTGAAGCTTCTGTGTGTAGTAGCACTAGTCAGGGTTGTATCGTGATCCTGGAGTTTTGTGGAGTCAGGCGTTTTCACTGTGATTTCTTGGAAGGGAACGTTGATGGCCCGACCAAAAAAGTACCTTGCAGTTCCCAAGAAGAGTTGCAGAGACATTTCAAAATACAACATTCCCCTTTGGGCTTTTTTGCAGCTGGGATCTTTACTCAGGATATTGAATCAGTTATTGGCCAACAGGCATTTGGCAAGCTGAAAAAGCAGAGCCCTAAAACCTTCA